ATATAAAATAGCTGTCATTAAGAGCAATCACTGTATCCTACAGAATGAACACACTTGGAGTAGCAGAAAGCTGTCCTCCTCTGAACAAGTAGTCTGTAGAATTAAATATTTTGTAACTACTCATAGTGTGCTCAGTACTATATAGTAAGCATTTTTGCAATTTCTCCCTTTCTTTTGAGTTGCTTATAGGAAAAGAGATGTGGCATAGAGGGACAGGTGAAGGCTCAGTCGTTAAGCATCTGTCTTTAGCTCAGGTCATGATCCCAGGGTCCTGGGATCGAGCCCCGCATCGGGCTCCCTGCTCAGTGGGAAGCCTGCTTCTCCTTCTCCCACTCCCCCTGCTTGTGTTCCCTCTACGCTGTCTCTCTCTCTCTCTCTGTCAAAAAAATAAAATCTTAAAAAAAAAAAAAATTGAGAGCTATTTGGAGGAAGATGTTGGTTAACCGTAACTTTCTACTAAACCTATGTAAGCCAGAACCCCTATTCTGTGGATAACGAGAAATTATAAATGCCCTCAGATGTCAATTCCACAGATATTTACTGAGAACCTACTATGTGTAGGGCATTCTACTCAACGTGGTCATGCACACAGAGATGAATCAGGAATCCCTAGTTGCTTATAGACCATTGGAAGGTAGAGGTAGCTGCAAAATGAAGCAGGGTAAGTTGAGGGTCATGAGAATGATACACATGGCCTTGTAGCTGGAAAGGAGAATGAAATTACTCTCTTTAGAGGGATCTGGAATGGCTCTACAGAGGCTATTTTACACATTTGTAGATGTGTGCATTTCTGTTTGGGTGACTGAAAGTGGCAAGGCAGTTTCTTCCCCGTGCCATAACTCTGTTTAGTATTTGATCCTCCCTTCCTCCCCCCTCCTCCCGCCTTTCTCAAGAAAAATATTGCTGTACATTAATTCTTTTGAAACCTTTAATGGTGTTGCTGAGACAATCATTTAAGCATTTAAAATACATAGCACGTAGTACACTTATTTTAGAGGCAGCAGTGGTTAGCCACTGGAAACTAACCATTGGGTTTGATAAAGGGGGGAATTTTATATGTTATGGCTTATGACAGAATGGAAAAATGCTTCAGTGAGACAGGCTGGCATTTTAAATTGGAGCACAATAATGGCAAGAAGTGCTGAAGTCAACAGACTGCTTAGAAATATGGTTACTATTTGCTGAGAGAGGCCTTACAAGGTGGCCACATACAAGCATTTGCAACCAGTTAGTTCAGTTCTTCCCTAAACATGGGAAGTGACCCTGATTGACGTCAGTGAGAGTTGTATACTTGCAGGGAGAGGAGATTCAGGTCATCTAAGAAGCCAAGGCAAGGAGGAAATAGGTGTAATAAGCAACGAGTTCTAACAGACTCACACATTATACATAACTTAGGTTGGAAACCAGACAGAGGTGACCGTGATCTGAATCTCCTGGGGCTGGCCCCAAACTTCTCCTTTTACCCCCAAAGCTATTAGAATATGAATTGAGTCTAGTCCACACAACTTGAAAATGGTAGACAAGGTAGAATGAGAATATAGAAGACAGTCTTATGAGGTGACATTTGATTTATGACTTGGACAGTATGAAGGAAATGGCCACAAGAGCTGGAAGATGAGAATTCCAAACGAAAGAATCAGCAAGGAGAAAATATCAGAAATGAGTGACCGAATTGCTTTACCTCTCTGGGCCTCAGTGTCATCATTTGTAAAACTGGAGAGTTCGACTAAGTGAGCCCTAAGGAATTTGTCAGCTCCAAAATGCAAAGAAGTAAAGACTTAGCTAACATGGGCAACAGGGTTAAATGTTTGGTTTGTTTGTTTTTTTCCTGGTTTAATTGAGATATAATTGACATATAACATTGTGTTAGTTTAAGGTATCAACATAATGCTTTGATAGATGGATGTATTGCAGTGTTTGTTTTTGAAGATGGTAGCCCTGGGGGGTGTTTGAAACATTAGGAACAGGATGGAAACATTGAGAGGAAGAAAATGTTGGCAAGAGAAACTTTTTTTTTGTCAAATGCAACAAGATTCCAAATTAGTGGAAGGAGATAGTGTTCGGGGTGTGTGTGGCCGGGGGAGCTCTTTCTTCTTTCTGATGTTTCCTGTCTTGTGAGGGGAGCTTAATTACTGTAACATTGCTGATCACTTTAGTTTTTCTACCTTAAGGGAGGTGGAGTGAGAAGACGAAATTGAGCATGTTCTGCTCCTTTCAGCTCTTCCCTTTTGCTTTTGGGCAGCAATCCTCAACTTGGATAGCTTTTCTCCTTACTTCCCCAGGCCTTAATTCTTGCCTGGGGAGGGTACCCTCTCCTCTGGGAGCTTTGACCTGATCTAGTGTTTCCTGTGACCTTGTGGGTAAATCTATTGAATATGGGGATTCAATTTTCAGGTACCTTTGGTTCCCACACTAAATCATATTGTCCAGTTTAGCCTTCATCAGTAATAATGGTGATATTTTGGTATCCCTCTGCCATATCCTCATCTTACTTTTTGGTATGTTCAGAATTTGGATGGGCAAGAAGAGTGCCATTCATTTGGCCCTTTCAGACCCCAAAAGCTAGGATTCAAGGGGAAAGGAATTAGCTTTGGTGAGAAGGGATATTGTCTCCTTTGAATCAGAAAGGAGAAGGCAGTAGTTGTGAAGAACTACAGATACTTGAGCCATGATGGAGTTTCAGATTCAGAATCATCTCAGTAAAGTAGGAGGCCAAATAATCAACTGAGAATGAGTCAGCAGGCATGGAACTAGAAAGTTAAAAGAGGAAAAGAGTTAGAACTGCAACTATGGGGAGTGTACTCAATCCACCGAAGAGCAAACTGTTGCCAGTTAGGGTGACAAGGTGATATTAACAGGCTTGGTTGTGGATGGGGCTCGAAGGCTGCCTTGTTATCTGCCACCAGTCACAAAGCAGTGGTGAAAACTGCTCTGTAGTATATGTTTGAGTCTTAAATTATATTAAATTTCACAAATAAATGAAAGGATCTATTAGGGTTAGACAATGAATGGTTATATTTATGTTGTTACACAAGCTAGACAGTTCTTCAGACATGGTGTACACAGCCACTAAGTTAACCCTTGTCTCGGCTGATTCAGATTTTCTTCTTGTGTGTGTGTATATATACTCAGGTTTTAAAAAAAATATTAAGTAAGGTTTTTTAAAGAGCCCAATCAACAAAAGACTGCATATTAGCAGCCCCAAACACCAACAGGATGACGTTTTAACATCTGTTGTTTTTCATTACATAGATGGCTTTATTGAAGGTTGTTATTCCTTACACGACAAGTTTAGTTGCTTTCATGCAGAAAAGGAAATACTCTGCCTTCTTCCTTTTGCCCATTGATTCTTCTAGAACCAAGGGGAGTGCCAGCTTCTTTATAATCTCAAAATATTCTTTGCATCCCTCATTTCTCTCAATTCCTATTACTTTTGAAAAATCAGATTGTATATTTCCACATGCAGTTTGGTGAAGGGTGAGAGAATAGGGAGTAAGGAAGGATTTCAGGAGATGATTGCATTTGAACTGAGTGTGGAGAAAGAACAGAATTTGGCAGGTGGCTGTGGGTGCACTCCAGGTATGGCACATGGCTTAGTCCAAAGAGCATGGAGGCCTGGTGTCAGGTCATCTTTAGGGAGCAGAGTGTTGAGCAGGCCCTTTGGCTAGAGGACAAATATGCAAAGGGTGTATGGTCTCTACGACTGGGAAAGTAGCATGAAATCAGATTTTTCCCCCTTAGGGTGGGTAAGATTTTCCTGAGGAAGTAAGGCTGTGGAGATGTAGAAAGTGAAAATTCAGTGGGTTTGATTTCTGGAATGATATTCTAGAAGGAACAGAATTAAGAGTCTAGTAGACAGGCACATAAAATCTGAGAGGAGGTGAGGAGGAGTTAAACAGAATGAAAAGAGAGGGCTCAGTTTTACTTGAAAAGCTGGTGATATTGTTTTGTAGTTGATACAAGAATACCTCCTGATATTTAGAAATACAAAAATTATTTTAAATATATCTACTCTGTCAGAGTTGTTATTCCCCCCCCCCTTTTTCATTTTTGGTAAAAGAATAAAAAATAAAGAACAGCATACACTGAAAGAAATCAGGTACACAACAGGGACTGAAATAATTTCAAATAATTTTTCTTCTAGGTGGATTGCTATTATAAAATAAGAATACATTTTGATTCAGAACTTTTATGAAGAACTTGGGCATTTTATTACAACATCTGTTTCTACATTTTAATTTCTCTTTTCCCTTTTATAGATATTTGCATACTTTTTTTTTTCCAAATGAGAAGACCTTTTTTTTGCCACAAGAAGGCTGTTATCCAAAATGTTAATGGGTTTTCAGCTATTAAGATGTAATGATATACCTTGAGTATTTAACTATAAATTTGAAAAATCTCCATGAACAATCTCAAAGGAATACTTAGAATGCACTCCTGGTAAATTGGCTCATTTTCCTGTAATTTACTGGAAGTGCTGATATGAGAGCAGTCCTAATGTGAAAAGTACATTAATCCCTGGAGTTACATTTTATGTATTAAATTATTACTCTCAAAGAATAAAACGTATGAGGCCATTTAGCCTTCATTCACATTTGTTACTTAGAATCACAGTAGAGAAACAGTCACTTATCGTTGATGCACAAAATTAGAAATGATGCATTTAATATCTTTTAAAACAAGAGGCACAGTGATACTCAGTTATGCTTTTGCATAACAATTGCTCTTTCCCCAAACAAGGACTGTTCTAGTTAAGAGCACGATTCTTCGGGCTTTGTGGAGGCCCCTTTCGTTCCATTGGTAATTGAAATATTTTTAGAAACCCATAATGCAGCTTTCTTTGATGTCAGTCAGAAAGATTAGTCTGCCTTCTAGCCCTGAGCTTCTACCACATTGGGGGATTATTTAAGGAGGTAGTCAGTTTGCTGAAGCAGTGGGTTGTAGGAACACTTAGGGTCTTGTTTGGAATTTTGTCTAATTGTGTTTTTCTTCTTTGCCAGGGGACTGAAAGTTGTGGAACCACAATTTGTGACACCAGGTGTTTTTTTGGTAAGCAGCCACTTATGATTCCGGAAGATTAAGGCAGATAGGAAGCCCCTTCTGAGATTGTAACAAAGCTCTCGAACAACAACCGACACCATGGACATAAAGCTGGACCCTTCCCAGGATGACCTGCCTCTCATGGCCAACACCAGCCACATACTCGTGAAGCACTATGTACTGGATTTAGATGTGGATTTCGAAAGTCAAATCATTGAGGGCACCATAGTGCTTTTCTTTGAGCCTGGGGACAGATTCGAGAAACAGAGTGGTTCCACCAAGGACACCTGCCGATCAGAGTCAAACGAAGCCTGCAGTTTTAGGATGCCTGCACCCTGCCAGAGTCCTGTGACAGATACAAGGACCTTCTCATCTAAAACAGGATATAATGATTTTGCAATCTGTGGTAAAGGTGAAAAAGATACTTCTGGTAAAGATGGTAACCATGACAACCCGGAACAGGCTTCTGGGATTTCTAGCTCAAAGTACCGCTGTGACACAGGGAATCATGGGAGTGAGGATTTTTTGCTAGTGTTGGACTGCTGTGATTTATCCGTGTTGAAGGTAGAGGAGGTGGATGTTGCTGCTGTGCCAGGTATTGACAAATTTACAAGGTCTCCCAAGCTCACAGTTGTTTCTGAGGAGCTCAGGAATCAGATTGTACATGAACTTGTCACTCTGCCTGCAGGGCGTTGGCGGGAGCAGTTAGACTATTATGCTGGCTGCAGCCAGGCTCCTGGCTGTGGGGAGCTCCTGTTTGACACTGACACTTGGAGCTTACAGATCAGGAAGACAGGGGCTCAGACAGCTACTGACTTTCCTCACGCCATAAGGATATGGTACAGCACCAAACCCCAGGGGCGATCTGTTACATGGACCTCAGACCAGAGCGGCAGGTAGGTTATCTGGGCGCTCCACAGCCCCCTGCCCGTTAATCTCACACACTGGGAGATGAGCCTTTGCATGGATGCTCTTCCACAGGGGACGGTCTTGGCAAGGATGCTCCTCTCTATTCTAGTCCCTAGGCCCACAGTGAAGTAGGTGAATTCCCAGGCATGCTCCACTCTTAATAGGATTATTTCCTTAAGTCATGATGAAAAGATTACTTTATTCAGCCCCTGTATTTCGGAGTTAGGAGATTGAAAGGCAAGCCTAATGATTAAATCCCGAGCCTAGCTCTCCGTTGGGATCTCTGCTGGCGACCTCAGTGCTGTAGATGGGAGTGATATGTGTCTCTGAGCAAATACTGTCTCAAAGTTCCTTCATATTCCCCCTGAGGGAATAAACTGCCACCAAGTTGGGTCAGTCTGAAGCCTGGCCAAGGGCTTCCAAATAAAGCCAGCTCTGCTTTGTGACTTTCTTACTGAACCTGTCTTTTGGCAGCCGTGCCTCTCTGGACTCTGTCACTTGTCATATAGTGCAAACCCCCAAACACTGGAAAGGTCTGTTTCTGAGGCGTGTGACATAGCCCTGCCAAGACTGCACACTTGCTCCTTTGGCCGCGATTTTTCCCATTTGACCCCAGGAGACTCCGGGTTTTTAGTGTAGAGAGAAGGGATTGATGAGGCGTTGAGGTGTTCAGGCAGCCGTTTGTGCTTTTCTTCTTGCCCTTCTTCCAACAGTTGTTCAGGGTTCTTAGAATTTGAGAATTTTAAAATCAAACTTCATTGATTCCTCATTATTTTACCTGTTTGTGCTAATGTACTGCAGATCAATACAGTAATTATTGCAGAGTTTGGCTGGAGGAATGCTGATCTCAATGAACTTGTTTTGAGCTCCTTCTTTTATAGCATGACTCCCTTGACAGAAGCGGTGGTCTCGGGAAATTGCTTAGATCTCTTCCCCAACCCACCCCCAAAAACCTTTTAGATTTTTTTTTTTTTAAGCATCACTTCGACTTTGAGCTCTAATTATCCTTTTCCTTACCTCCAGTCTTACTTCTCTGCCCTGGTCTCCTGCCCCACTGAGAATGAGTTCATTTCTTGTCTTATTTCTGTTGGAGTCTGAGGCAGCCTTTGAGAAATTGCAGGGTTGGTGCAAACTTACACCAGTACAAAAGCATACTGATTTATATATAAAATAACTTATTGGATATTCTTGTGAGACCATGAGGGAAAGAAACAGGTGTTCTTATTGTATCTTTAAAGTTTTTTGAAATTATTAAGGGTAAGGTTTTCAATAAGATTTAATTAAATATGGCTTCTGAATACTTAATTTAGGAAATCATAGTTTTTAACACTCCCAGATATTTCATTTCTGAATTAGAATAATGGGGAAGAAGAATCTATTGACAGTAGTTGGAAGAAATACTCATTAATGGCTTCAAAGATGGCTTTCTTCTCAGTGCTCACTACCCAGAAAGAGATTAGACTTGTGAATTACATTATTACATGTCAGGTGTTGAATAGGAATGAGTTACGGATAAATGCTGATTTCCATAAAGAAACCGAAGAGGTGCTAGGGCACATCTTTTTCCTGCAAAGATTGACTTGGCAGATTTACTCGTGATGTCTCCTTTTCTGATAATTCAATAAAATGCATGATGATAGCAGGAGTTTAAACTGTATCCTTGGGAGTTCGTGATTATATGTTAGTAAGTAAATGGCACATATGCAGCCTTACAAGAATAATAAATTTTGTTTTACAGAAGAAATCCTCAAAAGATGTTTTCTCTCCCTTTTGTCTTTTTTTGGGGTAATTTTATTACAATCAAGATCATCTTCCATAAATGGCCACCAACTCTCCCACATGCTTACAAATAAATCTAGGTGTATATTGGTAACTGTTTGGATACTTTAAGGACTTTAAAATGCCTAAGGATCCCAGGTTGCTAGACAGAAAATATTCCTTAGTGATAAGAGCAGATAATAATCATCAGGGTTACAAAGCTTTATGAATATAATTGTGTGAAAATATATAAAATTTTACAATTGTGTGAAAATTATAATTGGGTAGAGCTTATTTTCTCCAAGGCATAGAGTCTACTTTTACTGAAACTTACATTTTATCCTTGAGTGGCAGAATACTATCAGCATACCTACATTCTTAGTCCCGGATACAAAATGTTTTATTCTCATTTTACAACTAGGAGAATTGAATAAAGTTACTGATAGCGCCTTGAAAAAAATCTGTATTTCATTTGTGAAAGGGAGCTACATTTCTTACTTTTGATCTTTACCATGTCCCTTATTGTATGCAAAGATTTCAGTACATTTAAAAAATATATTAGCTTTCAGTGAATTTCTATTTTTAAGCAGTTATTAGACAGAAACTTAAGAAAATCTCTAAATTGATACCTTCCCTTTTGAGTTCTGTCAGTGTCTTCTCCCCTTGTCACCCTCACCCTACCCCATGTTGAAAATAAAACTTAAATTATTTGGTTTGATAATATATAAATAAGAGATCAAAGGATCCCGGGATGGAATGCAAATTGTGACAAAACAATCAAATTATATTAAAAATGTATGAAGCAACCTCACTGAAGGGGCTTGGGGGCAAAGGTGCTGACCTAAGTCACTTTGGAAATGAGTGGAGTTTGTAAGACTAAAGGCAAAAGGAGCTATGCCTAAATACTGTGCTGTAGTTGATAAAGTTATTTCCTATGGGCGTACCAGTTAACAATTCTGGTACCACCATATGTGTATACTGGAATTGAGCAATTAAGTAAATTAAGTAAATCTGGGAGCCAGGTTTCTCACTGTTGAAGTGGGAGGTTACAGATGAGCAAGAGGAATAGGCTAGAATGATCTCTGTGGTGTAATAGATTAGAACTGGAGACATCACTATAAACTCATGTTTAATGTTTAGTTTAAGATGGATGCAGATGGTTGCATTATAGAAATAATTATAAATAGGTGTTTTCCAAGGATTAGCACGCACACGTAAATTTCCTTGCTTGCCATATGGGAGGGTCTAGAAGCACAGTGCCTGGGTCTTGGTTTCTAATACCACTCTCCAATAATGAAGCCAGGGCTTCTTGGAGGAACGGCTAAGACTGTAGGAAATAATACAAGATGAGCCTGGAGCATCTTGTAGTGCCAGAAAATAAGGAAGTGCTCAAACAGCAGCAATAGTAGCCCACAATTGAGGGTATATGCCCAAGGTCCAAGGAGCCATTGGAAAGAATTCCTAATGACCAAAGCTGAGCAACAATATAAAATAGTTTTGGATGATGACCTGAAGTATAAAATAAGTATTCATGAGTTCACATTAATATAAAGAAATATTTGAATAAATAAACAAATAGAGAATAGACATATCTAAGGTACAGAAGTTGTCCAAGTTATGTAGATACTCCATCCTCAAGGAGGTGGAACATAACTCTGCTCCTTATTAAGTATGGGCTAAGAAATAAGAGTGACTTTACATCGTAGAAACCTGACAAACATGACCTCAGTGAGGAGATCAAGGTTAACATCAAAGTGAGGAGTCATGTTGATATAGTGTATATCCTTGGTATGATGTGATGAAATGACATCTTTGTGATTGTCCTCCCCCAAACCCATAACCCCAGTCTAACCAAGAGAAAAACATCAGATAAATCCCAGTTGAGGGACATTCAGCAACATACCTGACCAGTACTCCTCAAAACTCTCAATGTTGGGGCACCTGGGTGGCTCAGAGGGTTAAGCCCTCTGCCTTCGGCTCAGGTAGTGATCCCAGAGTCCTCGGATTGAGCACCACGTCGGGCTCTCTGCTCAGTGGGGAGTCTGCTTCTCTCTCTGCCCCTCCCCTTGCTCATGTGCTCTCTCTCACATAAATAAATAAAATCTTAAAAAAAAAAACCTCTCAGGGTCAACATAAGCAAAGAAAGTATTAAGAAACGGCTTCACATTCAAGAGAAGCCTAAGGAGACATGATGATTAAAAGGAATGTAGTATCCTGGAGCAGAAAAAGGACATTAGGGAGAACCAAGGAAATCTGAATAAATACAGACTTTAATAATGTATCAATACTGGTTTATCAGTTGTGACAAATACACTAATATAAGATGTTAATAACAGTGCGTATGGGGTAAATGGGAAATCTGTGTATTATCTTTGCACTTAAGAGTAAACCTAACTGAAACAAATAAGACATTATATGTTAATTAAAAAAAAGTAAATCTAAGCCTGACCAAAAGTAATGTTTATTAAAAAAATAAACTTCAAATCTGGAAAGCAGTCACCATCTTTCTACCTTGAAATCTCTTACAAAAGTAAGGACTGCCTTCCCGTTTTTATCAAGTGGCAATGTTTTCTGGAGAACTGAAAATGTATTTGAAGTTATAAAAGAGTATTCCAATAATTGTCAGTAATTTCTTTTCCCCCCGTTACTATTCTAGTTCTAAAATGAAGTGCCTGATCGTTATAAAAGCTACATTTTCCTACTGGGGCTTAGTCATTGTGGGATTTTGAAAGTTCTTGAACTGAAATGTTCTTTCTGGCCACTGTCATGTAGATACTGGATTAGAGATGACATTTAAAAAGGACCACCTAAACAGACACATATATGATAGTCTGATACAACATGCTTCTTGGAAAGCCTGTTTACTTCATGTAGTGTGATTTTTTTCTGCCCTCTAAAAATATTTTGAAGAACTTTGAGAACAGGGACAGAGTCAAGAATGTATTAAGGTTGTTGCTAAGCTGGGAAGAAAGGGGACTTGATATCTTTTTGGTTCTAGATCTTCAGTATACTTAAGAAAAAAACTTTTAGAAATGGAAATCTTTAATTCAAAATTTATGTACTTTTCTATTCCACTGAATAAAATGTTATTTAAAACTAAAAGCATTCTCTCTGGTAACCCGTTCCCTTTTCCCTTAGGATCATTATAATAGTTGTGGAACTGGCCAAGTGGTCTAGGGAACCCGGGCTTAAGCTAATGACATCACCGAACATGAGTTGAATGGAGTGG